CCCTGCCTCCCCAGCTGGCTCAGAGAGAGGGAGGCCCCAGCTGGAGGGGTGGAGCAGCGCTGGCGACATGGACGCGGTCCCAGCTGGTAGTGTGTGCTCAGACAGTGCGGGGATGCGCAGCGCCCCGAGGGAGTAGTGTTAGGCACACCTGGCAAGCTGGCTGGACCTTTGCAGCCCACTGGATAAGAGCTGGCCCGCTCCCTTCTAGCGTTACCCAGCGTTGTGCAAACCTGACTCAACGCGCCAGACCCCGAGCCGCCCCCTTTTCACACTCGCCTTATTGTACCAACCGACAATGAGATCCAGGTTGTCCAGAAACTTGCGGAAAGTTTCGTTTTGAGAAAAGAGGCTCCCGGCGCTTTCTGGGATGTCTTTCTGCTTCTGAAAGCTCAAATACTTGACTTCGCGTAGAACAGCAACTAGCTGCTCGCCCCGCCCGCGGGAAAGCTCCCGAGAGAACCAGAGACGAGTCCTCCTGGGGCGCCAGGGTGCACATGCAGCAGGGCCGCTGGATGGGCCTTGCCTGGGCGGGACAGAGCCGTGTCTGCTGCAGGCCCAGGCTGCTCTCCACCTGCAGTCTCCTGGCCACCCACCTCCTTGCTGAAGTTCACGCTGATGAGAGAGGTGTTTGGATCGCGCAGGATGAGCGGCTGCTGGAGGTTAAACTGGCAGTCGGCGTCCACTCGGCTTATCCACCCCTCGTAGGTCTTCTGCGAATCATCTCCTGGTACTTCTCGGACACCAGCTTGGCTTCAGCACTGACCATGACCCTGCAATCAGCGCAAAGAAGAGCCAGCTGCACTGAGAAGCAGCGAGCCGGCCAGGCCTGCTGGGCTAGAGGGCGGAGCCGTGTTCTCTCCCGCCCGCGGCTCCCTACTGCACACACGGCTACAGCCTGCAGCCGGACTTACGGGTGATCGATGGTCTGCAGCTCCTTCATCGGCCTCTCCAGCCTTTCCTGCAGCTCCAGAGCCCACTTCAGCTGCCCGGCGACGGGAGGCATGTTTTTGCTGATGGGCGGCACACCGCCAGACTTTATGCCGGCGATCTGGGCATCGTACATGGTCTTTGCGTTGTCCAGCTCCACAGAAAACATCTCCAGCAGGGTGGAGTAGTGAGGGGCCACTTCCGCCTTTATCAGCGGTCGGTCCAGGAGCGAGCCAAACATGTGGATTTGCTAAGGAACAAAGCCGTTAGTGAGCTGGGTGCACAGCGAGGGGCTGTTGCCGCGGCCTAGCACGTAGCACGCTGCCTCCTGATTCCTCCAAAAGGCACAAGGTCAGTTCTGCTAAAGCCAGTCTCACTGCGTCTAAGGCCTTTCGTCTGCTTTCCAAACACTCAGTCACCTCTGCACGCCCACGACCCCCCCAACCAGTTCACTTCAGTGTCGTTCCAAGTGCAGGCGTCTGGACAGATACTGGGGCCGGAAACCAAATGCCCACTTAAAACCAGTTCTAAATTGGAATAAAAAGCTGAACATTGGAAATTCTTCCACATAACAAAAATGTCAACCCCTGTTATTTAAAACCCCCAAACCATTTGTTTGAATGTCAAGTCCCTGCGTTTAGACCTGCCGAGGATATGAAAATGTGAAATGCAACATGCATATAATTCAGACATGGAGTACAGAGTCAACATTTTCATATCATAGAAAAGTCTCAAGTAAATTGCTTGAAATGATGTCAAAACCACTTCCGCATTGCTGACATGAAATGAAACCAGTGAGAATTCAAAGAGGCTTTTTCCTGTCGAACATTTCGGCAAAATTGACAAGTTCCTGCAAAAACAATGATTTTGACCCAACTGCATTTTCTGCTGGAAAATGTTTTGAGCAGCTCCAATATTTACACTCTAAGACCAAGTCTACCAGTGCAAGAGTGACCACAGCACCAGCATGGGAAGAGAGCTCTCCCAGCGCTCTGTGTGAACCCTTGCATGAGGGCATAGCTCCCAGCTCTCTGTGACACCCCCTTCCCCGCAGCATCCCTTCGACCTGCCCTCAACCCTAGAGAATGAGGCTCCTCTAAGCTCTATTCAATATCTTCATCAACCATTTAGATAGCGGCATAGAAAGTACGCTTATTAAATTTGCAGATGACACCAAGCTGGGCGGGGTTGCTACTAATCTGGACGATAAGGTCATAATTCAAAATGACCTGGACAAATTGGAGAAATGGTCTGAGGGAAACCGGATGAAGTTTAATAAAGACAAATGCAAAGTGCTCCACTTAGGAAGGAACAATCAGTTTCATACGTACAGAATGGGAAGCGACGGTCTGGGAAGGAGCACAGCAGAAAGGGATCTAGGGGTCATAGTGGACCACAAGCTGAATATGAGTCAGCAGTGAGATGCTGTTGCAAAAGAAGCAAACATGATTCTGGGAGGCATTAACAGGAGTGTTGTGAGCAAGACACGAGAAGCTCTACTCTGTGCTGGTTGGTCTCAGTTGGAGTATTGTGTCCTGTTCTGGGCACCGCACTTCAGGAAAGATGTGGAGAAATTGGAAAGGGTACAGAGAAGAGCGACAAGAATGATGAAAGGTCTAGAGAACATGACCTATGAGGGAAGGCTGAAAGAACTGGGTTTGTTTAGTTTAGAAAAGAAAAGATTGCAAGGGGGACATGGTAGCAGTTTTCAGATATTTAAAAGGGTGTGTGACAGCGCGTTGGGGTCCCCCATCTCCTGCACCCCCAAAATGGTACGAACAGACTCCCCCAGCCAGTAGAACAGAGGGAGTTTATTGCTTCTCCAGGATACAGCACAGCACAGATGTCATCAGGTTACAGGGCAGGCCTAGGATGCCTCAGCCACCCTTGATATGGGGCAGGGGTCTCGGCTTCTAAACCCCCCAGCCTGTTGCTGAGGCTGCTTCCTCCATGCTCCCAGACAGAAACTAACCCAGCCCTGCCCCCCAGCCCAGGCAGCATCCACCTTCCTTTGTTCCTCCCCATGGGGGGTGGCTGGTCAGACAGGCTGAGACACCCTTTGCATAGTGACTCATCCTGTTTTGCTGGGCCGTGGTACCAACTGCAGCCCGTGGGGGTTACCCCAGAGCCAGCAGCATAGAAACCAGCCAGGTACCCCCACTACGTCACAGGACATGGTAGCAGTTTTCAGGTATCTAAAAGGGTGTCTTAAGGAGGAGGGAGAAAACTTGTTCATCTTGGCCTCTGAGGATAGAACAAGAAGCAATGGGCTTAAACTGCAGCGAGGGCACAGCGCGCTGGTGTCAGGCCACACGCAAATTCACGCTCATCAGGGCACGTGCTAACCCTCTTGCTAGAAGAGGCACCAGCCACACATGCTCATTGATACCTTGACAGCAGATTCAATGCTGTTACAGTCATTAAAGCCTTGACAAAAAATGGTTGCCAATCTTCTATCCAAATCCTGAATTTTGGTCTGGAACTCTGCAAAATCTTCATCAAATTCCTGTCAATAAAAAGATGGAGAGGCCAACGCCAGGATTAAGCCAGGCGCCGGCACCTTAGCGAGACGCAGCCGCAAAGTCCGCTCATTAAAGCGAACCGGTGCTACGGCCAGTGTGTTCTTTGCTAAGGGACGTACGCTTGTTGCCGTGGCGACTACTACCCTACGCAGATTCTCAGCAAGTCACTTACGCACCTAGCAAGCGCGCAGTCCTCGCGCTGGCGTTGACTCACCTCGTCGGCGGGGTCTAAGGGGTCGTATTTGCAGTCAGCAAAAACCTTAATGAGCTCCGAGACCTCCTCGTAAATCTGAAACACCAAGCTCCCCAGGATGCTGCCTCTCACGCCACCCAGCTCAATCTTCTCCAGCTTCAGAAATTCAATCGCTGTTACGTACAGCTCCTAGGGAACAGACACAGCCACCGCGCCGTGAGTCGCCATCTCCGCCGGCGCTGCCTGCATGCCGGGGCGCTGGCGGACGGGGCCGGACACAAAAGCCATGGGACTTGGTGAGCAAGGGAAAACTGGCAGGTGCTAAATACACATGCACACACCTGCACACCTACCTACACACGCACACCCCTGCACACACACACCCCTGCACACCTATCTACACACACACACCCCTGCACACCTACCTTTACACACACCCCTGCACACCTACCTACACACACACACCCCTGCACACCTCCGTACCTCCCTCCCTCCCTCCCTGCATAATCCAATTTCTGCGTTACACTTGGGGTTGCCCAGCGGTGGATTTCAAGGCACTGTGGTCCCTTGGCAGACGGAAGGCAGCAAGGCCGGGTTCAGCGAGGGATGTAAACACATCGCTAGCCTGGCGGGCCGAGTGCCCTGCTTCCACGTAGGCTTGGGCGCCTAGTGACGCCGGGCCAGGCGAGGAGGTGTCTGACTGCAGCCCTCCAAGCTGCGCCTCTCTGGTCCCAGGGTGGGACACCTGCGCTCTATGCGCCTGAGACCAGCAGATTCTGCCTAGCTGTGTCTTTCGGCCTGCACCTGCCCCTCGTGCTCCAGTGGAGAGCGTGGGGAAGGCGAGGCAGACTGGCCACCGGGCCCCGGCCCTACTCCAAGGCAAACACCCTCATAATGGCGGGGACCTACAGGAAGCCTTGGGAATCACCCGGGGGATGAGGGAAATAGACACCCGTCACGCCAACAGCCGGGAGCCAACCCTTTGTTTAGGGCCGGGGCGACTGTCCGAGGTCTCAGTCGGCGGATAAAGGCAGTGACTGGTTTGAGGCCCCCACCCTCCCGCTCTCAGGGACAAGGGAGCCATGGGAGGGAACTCCCTCTTCCTGGGGCCGAGGGGCGTCTGCGTCCCCTCGTGAGCGGGGCTCTGGAGGGGCAGGAAAGAGGCGTGAGGGGAGGAGCGGAGCGGAGATACAGCCAGGGGGGACGGTGTCAAGACCTGTCTGTGCTCCGCTGCTGGTGAGTGGCTTTGGCTAAACCCAGCGCTAGAAACCCCAGGGAGTCAGCCCAGCCCAGGGTCTCAACAGACGCTCCTGGAGAGGTTCCCTTGGTCCGGGTTCAGCTGGGAAAGGAGGGTAGATACCAACGGCCCCGCTCATTGTTCCCATTGTGGAGAAATCCCTGTAACAGTCTATTTTGTATTAAGAGCTTCTCCTTTTCCATCTGTCTTTGCTAGGTGTCTTATAGAATCTGGAACATTTCCCCTAGAACTTTGTATTAAGATATATCCATCTTGCAAGAAAAACTGTCTTTTGAGCTCTCCCCTTTCCTTGATGGTCCTGTTGAAATGAATGAGCTGTGAATGGAGAATGAAAGGGGAGCCCCTCCAGCAGCAGTTGCCAGGGTGGAGAAGGTCTGGGAGCCAGAGCTAAGACAACACCTGCAAAGTGAGCTCATTAAGGAGACTGGACAGACAGGCGCCTCGGGAGTCCAGCAGCAAGCGCCTGCCCTTGGAAGAACTCCCTCTGAAGCAGCATTAAGAAAGGCGAGGTGCTGACTAATTGGCTGCATGAGAGGGGTAAATAGGAGGCGTCTTGCAGAGGGACCCCGGGTTTTCGTCTTGTCAACATGGGAGCATCGATCCGGATTGGCAGACGCCCGGCTCCACCCCTCCCCTATCTAACTCACCTGGCGGGGTGGGGCAGTCTGCTTTTAAGCCAAATTCTGTCTGCCCTTCTCTGCCACACTGCAGCCTCTGATATGGAGGCTGCAGCTTGGGAGTGAAGGAGGGCAGGCAGCTCCATGGGAGCTGACGTGTGCATGTGTGTGCGCGTGTGCGTGTGTGTGTGTGAGAGTGTGTGTGAGTGTGAGTGTGTGCGTGTGTGAGTGTGTGTGTGTGTGTGTGTGAGTGCATGAGTGTGATGTGTCATATGCATATGAGAAATATTGATTGATCTATGGATGTTCAAGAAATGTGGCGTTGTCTTATCCCCCTGCTTCTTTTAAGCACCCCACCATTCATGCACGGAATACATTTTGTTGTGTGTGCTGAGGCATGTGCGGGTGTGCACCCCGACAAACACATGCTGGCGGCACCTGACCCTCTCCTGGGCGGCCGCCCAAGCGCTCAGCTGACTGGGAACGCTGGGGGCTACCACAGGGGTGGAGGCGTGCGCTTCGGAGGCCGCTGGGCTGCAGGAGGGGCCGCTCTGGAAGCCTGGCACCTAGGGGACGCTGCCAGCATTCACCGAGAAACTGCACCCTGTTTGTCACGTTACTGGACTTTGGGGGGATCAGACAGGTCACTGCTGCACCCAAGGGGGGTTGCCCCAAAGGCTGTACAAAGGGGGCCATGTGAGGTGTCACATAAAAGCTCGTGTTTTACTGATTCTGTGTGTGCTAGCCACGTACGGGTGTGACAGCTGTGTGTGGAGCTGTGAACATGTGCTCTGTGCTTCTGCTGGAAGGTTCCCTGTCTGACAGAGCAGTGGCCAAAGGATGCGCAGCCAGTGACTGTGCTAAGTAGCCAGGCTCAGGGACAATGGATCTCCAGCTGCCAACACACACCTGAGGGATGCGTCTGGGAATCTGGATACCCACAGCTGCCACGTGACCTGCTCTGGCCAGGAGGATGCCACGGGAGGTGTGTAAGTGCCACGTGGCACCCTCCTTTTGGTCTTCAGTTCTGCTCCTGAGCCCAGATGCAGCCTTGCAGGGAACAGCAAGCTAGAAAGAACCTGCCGTAGGATGTAACCCGAGACTTTTACACTAGCGCTTTGTAACATCTCTGCTGGGAGCCTGCATGGAGAACTGGGAGAGTCGGTGCATGTCACGTATTCCCCTTAACAACCTCACTCTCGTTCTTGTCTTTCTTTTAGGAATAAACCTTTCACTGGTAGATTCCAAAGGACTGGCTCAGAGTGATCTTGTGGGGAAGATCCAGAGTGTAAATCGGTTGGGACCTGTGGCTGGTTTCTTGGGACCGGGAGAACCCGTTGGGGGTAGGTGAGATGGGTTCTCTAACCCCTCACCTGTGTGTTAGGTACGGGGCTGACTGGGGCACAGGGCGAGCTGAGGTGCGAGGGGTTTTGCTCGGTTTATGGCCTGTTCGGGAAGGTCTCCGGCCTGGGGCTGTAAAGAGCCCTTGTTTTGAGCAATTTGCCCTGAGCGGACGCCCTCAGCGGTGCCCAGACCCGGTCCAGTCCATCACACTGGCATTGGACACTGGGCTAGATGGACCTTTGGTCTGACTCAGTATGGCCATTCTTATGTTCTTACAAACTGATTATTTGCTCCATCATCATTCTGGTACCAAACTTAAACTGACTGGTCTATAATTCTCTTGCTTGTCTTTAAGCCCTATTTCATAGAAGAGTACTATCTTTCCCCCTTTTCAGTCCTCTGGGATCTCTTCCTTTCTCCACAAGTTCTCAAAGATAATCATTAATGGCTCCGAATTCTCTTCAGCCGCTTCCTTATGTGTTTGATGATGTACTTCATCAAGCCCTGCCAACTTGACAACTAACTTGTCTAAGTCTTAACTTGTTCTTTACCTATTTTAGCCTCAGATCCTACCCTATTCACCGTGTTGTATGCTAGGTTAGCTGCCTAATCACTAGTACAGAAATGGTCAGGCAACCTTAATCATAAGAAAGGATCCTATGTATTCTGCAATTCCACAATGACAGAATATATCATCTTACTGCAGAATTTAAACTTGCATATTTAAAAAAATTAAGTCTCAGTATCTTATTGTTGAAAAAAACTTGCAGGCGTGAATTCAATGGAATTCAACGTACACATCCTTCCATGTCTACCAACAGCCTCATATAATAGCTCTTCAGCAGAACTCCTCTATTCATCCCAATGGATGATATCTCTGAAGTCTCATACTGGCAAATGGATAAAATCTACCCCAATGCACACAGACTGTACCTGCCTCCAACAGACAGATTCATGCCACTTAACTATAAATTTTATTGACACCTTTAATTGTTTACATTAATTACTTTACAGGATTTAAATCCAGAAGTTCTCTGCTGAGTGTGTTTGCCCATTATTATCCCTTCCAATCCACATTAGCATTATAATGACTGCAATCACCCAGTAATTAATTAACAGTAAAAAAAGAAAGTCTGAGAAAAATATGGAGTTCTTAAATACAATATCCTGAGGCTGTCAAAAACCTGCAATATTTCCCTGGAGAAATGTCAAGAGTGCCTTAGATTGGCAGACGCCCGGCTCCCCCCCTCCCCTATCTAACTCACCTGGCCAGTGCAGTTAGGGGGAGCAACTTTTGGTAACCACAAGACAGAGTGTGCGTGTGCGAGTGTGTGTGTGTGTGTGTGTGTGTGTGTGTGTGTCTGTGTGAGTGTGCGTGTGAGTGTGCGTGTGAGTGTGCGTGCGCGTGTGCGTGTGTGTGCGCGTGTGCGTGTGTGTGTGTGAGAGTGTGTGTGAGTGTGAGTGTGTGCGTGTGTGAGTGTGTGTGTGTGTGTGTGAGTGCATGAGTGTGATGTGTCATATGCATATGAGAAGTATTGATTGATCTATGGATGTTCAAGAAATGTGGCGTTGTCTTATCCCCCTGCTTCTTTTAAGCACCCCACCATTCATGCACGGAATACATTTTGTTGTGTGTGCTGAGGCATGTGCGGGTGTGCACCCCGACAAACACATGCTGGCGGCACCTGACCCTCTCCTGGGCGGCCGCCCAAGCGCTCAGCTGACTGGGAACGCTGGGGGCTACCACAGGGGTGGAGGCGTGCGCTTCGGAGGCCGCTGGGCTGCAGGAGGGGCCGCTCTGGAAGCCTGGCACCTAGGGGACGCTGCCAGCATTCACCGAGAAACTGCACCCTGTTTGTCACGTTACTGGACTTTGGGGGGATCAGACAGGTCACTGCTGCACCCAAGGGGGGTTGCCCCAAAGGCTGTACAAAGGGGGCCATGTGAGGTGTCACATAAAAGCTCGTGTTTTACTGATTCTGTGTGTGCTAGCCACGTACGGGTGTGACAGCTGTGTGTGGAGCTGTGAACATGTGCTCTGTGCTTCTGCTGGAAGGTTCCCTGTCTGACAGAGCAGTGGCCAAAGGATGCGCAGCCAGTGACTGTGCTAAGTAGCCAGGCTCAGGGACAATGGATCTCCAGCTGCCAACACACACCTGAGGGATGCGTCTGGGAATCTGGATACCCACAGCTGCCACGTGACCTGCTCTGGCCAGGAGGATGCCACGGGAGGTGTGTAAGTGCCACGTGGCACCCTCCTTTTGGTCTTCAGTTCTGCTCCTGAGCCCAGATGCAGCCTTGCAGGGAACAGCAAGCTAGAAAGAACCTGCCGTAGGATGTAACCCGAGACTTTTACACTAGCGCTTTGTAACATCTCTGCTGGGAGCCTGCATGGAGAACTGGGAGAGTCGGTGCATGTCACGTATTCCCCTTAACAACCTCACTCTCGTTCTTGTCTTTCTTTTAGGAATAAACCTTTCACTGGTAGATTCCAAAGGACTGGCTCAGAGTGATCTTGTGGGGAAGATCCAGAGTGTAAATCGGTTGGGACCTGTGGCTGGTTTCTTGGGACCGGGAGAACCCGTTGGGGGTAGGTGAGATGGGTTCTCTAACCCCTCACCTGTGTGTTAGGTACGGGGCTGACTGGGGCACAGGGCGAGCTGAGGTGCGAGGGGTTTTGCTCGGTTTGTGGCCTGTTCGGGAAGGTCTCCGGCCTGGGGCTGTAAAGAGCCCTTGTTTTGAGCAATTTGCCCTGAGCGGACGCCCTCAGCGGCACCCAGACCCAGCCCGGTCCATCACACCGTTCCCCACTCGCACCGACGGCTGCCATGGCGACAGAGGCGTATGGGTGTAGGCCCTGCTGGGGTAGCTGACTGCACCCTTCCTCCAGCCCTGTGCCTGCTGGCCCGGACGGGAGCACTGGAGGGCAGGCTGTGTACCTGCGGGCGGTCTGGCGGAAACCCGGCGCACACAGACAAGTACACAGGGGTTCATAGGCACCTCGATAGTCTTCACTCGGTGCAGGAAGGAGTTCATTCGGGTGAAGACGAGAGAGGACGGGAACTCCCAGAGCCTCGCCTCCTTGTCCTGGAAGCAGAGAAAGGGCCGTCGGCGCGGGGCGGGGGGGGCGGGGCACGTTCTCCACACGCCTCCCCAGCCGGCCCCCACGCCCGGCACAGCGACCTGCCTTAAAGAACGTGGGCATCAGCTCCGCGCAGCACCTGTGGTAGGCCTGGTACAGCCGCTCGATAACCGCTGGGCCCAGCTTGATCCCGCCCAAGATCTCCTCGATCTCGCCCTGCAGGCCCTTCAGCACCTCCTCCGGGCTCAGGAAGTTCCGAGTCTGAGCAAGAGAAAGGCAGCGACAGGCCCGGCCCTGAAACCCAGCTCCAGCTCCGAGGCCACATGCTCCTGCGGGCCCCCGCCCTG